GGGGGGTTAGAAGCTTTCAAAGTTCGAGATGACTATCTTACGATAATGCCACGATATAAAACTTGACCCTGGGGAGTGTGGGTGAGCGTTGAATGCATGTGAGTGTATTTAGATGTAATCGGATACATCCTGATAGATGACCAAAGCCACATTCACACCCACATCCTTCTTTTCTGAAATACTCAAAGTCTAGGGCAATTTGTATTTTTCTGACCATTTTGTGGCACGTAATCGTTTTTTCAATAATAGCTCACTAGTGAATGAATCATAAATTGGATGTGGGTGTGGGTGTGGGCGTGGTAGGGAACTGCAAAGTGGTCCCGGTCCCGCCGTGACCGGGACCAAAATTTTGATTTTTTCCGGGACCGGGACGGGACCGGGACTGAAATTTTGATTTTACAGGGACCGGTTGTGGGTGGGTGTGGGTGGTGTGTGGGTGTGAGTGTGGGTGTGGGTGTGGGTGCGAGTATTGAAGTTCTGGCTTCTTCAGCACACCACCCCCACACCCCACACCGACACCCACACCCACACCCATAATCGGTCAATGTGGCCGTTCCGCCGTTTACACGATAACTTTCGAAAGGAGAGTGGGATCGTGATGAAATTTTCTACATAGTTCAGTCTGATCAATGTCTCAGTCGAGTTCGAAGATGAGAAAGATCCGGTGTGGGGGTGTGGGCGTGGTGTGTGGGTGGTGTGCTGAAGAAGCCATAACTTCAATACTCGCACCCACACCCACACCCACACCCAGCATTTTCAGGTGGAGATGTTGTTTGTTTAGTTGATTTTTTAAGAATACCTGTTGTTTTTTCAGGTGTTATTTGTCTTTCTTGTGATGGATGATAATCTGTTGGAAGATGATTTATATTAAGTTCTAATTGTTGTTGAATATTTGAAAATGAATCTCGACCAAAATATTCAATATGACCAGATTCCCATGCTCGACGATGTTCAGCTGAACCGATTTCAATACCATTATTAGTTGGTAAACTCTTATAATCAAGTAAACCAACTAATCGACCCTAAACAAAAGAATCTAATTAAAGACTATTTCTTCAAACAAAATTCTATCATATTTCATTTTTGTATTTTATAAATGAACAAAAACACAAAGAAAACGTAACTTTTCAAACCCGTTAATATTTTAATAATAAAAAAAACACAATGGTTGAATTGAAAAAACATGCTAGTGAAATATAGATCCTTTTGTAATTGGTCGAGTCGAAATTTGAAATTCATGTTAAATTGTTAATGTATATTCTGGCCAAAAAGAGTTATGTGAGAAATAGCAATTGTTAAGATTTTCTGTTTGATTCGATGGAATTCAAAATGATTAAAATAAAAATGTGACAAAAAATCAAATTAAGTTTTCTAATTTTAGATTAAGTCTGTGATTGAAGACCGTTCTGAAGATATGAATAAAATATTGTGAAAGAGAACGTTAATTTTGAAAGGTATTTCACGAAAACTACTCAATGTCAGAGAGAAAATCGTCATTGAGCACAATGAGAAAAATTAGATTGATTTTTTTTTTGTAAAATTTTCATTCGATCATTTTGAGTTTTATCAAGTTCAAAAAATCAACAAAAATCTGTAGTTGACTTGATGATTGATCACATTGTAGAAATAGAAAAATTTTCATTTTAGAATTTTTCCAACAAACCAGACAAACAAGATGGTTAGTTTTAAGCAAACCATTTCATCCATCATAAATTTTATTTTTTTTTAGATAATTTTATTTGTTTTATTGGAGAAATATCTTCTAATGTTATTTAAATTGTATCATTATCTTTTTTTAAAAGTCTGATAAATCAAACAAATCTTTATAATAATAGAATAAAATAATCATTTGAAGAGTTCATAAGAAAATCAAATAGTATTTCGTTCGAAAATAAAATAAATATTTTTTTCTCATAAAAAATCAGAAAATAAAAAAAACAGTATTACCTGTCCAAAAAGCGATGATTTGGTTTTTGAATCAGCTTCCTGAAGGTATTAGGTAAACACACCATGCAATCTAACAAACGAAAAACTAACTAAAACAAAGTTTACCTGATGAAATTTTGATAATTGTGGCCAAACTCTTTGATACATAATTCTCCACCATGAAAGAAGAAAATCTCTTTGAATATCATTTTGTCCTTCTAAATTTCCTGATAATTGTTCATTTTGTGGATTGTATGTTAAATGCCATGGTTTTAAAGTACCAGCAAAATGAATAACACGAATATCATTACGAAATCTATTTGAAAAAAAAATTGTTTGTGTTCAGTTTTTATTTGAAAAAGAAAATGTCAAAATAACCTTGTAATAGCTGGTAAATATGAATAAAATGCATTTGATGTTACATTATAAATAAATGGTAAATGTCGAGATATATCAGCTGAACGCCAATTTGAAAAAAATTCATTTAAAAGACCTTGATCACCACCTGAAAAATAAATAAAATAAATTTAAAAAAAAATAATAGTTTGAATAAAATAAAATTGAAACCATCAAATGAAACATGTTGTTGAGATGCAAGTTGCATTAATTTCCTAAATCTTTGTTTTGATGGACGATAAACAAAAACTCCTGAATTAAAACAATCAGGCCAGCCAGCATCATGAGCAGCAGAAAATTCTTCTCTTTCAAATAAATCATCAATTTGACGTAAAACAAAACAATCGGAATCCAAAAACACACATTTCGAATATTTTTCTAAAAGCCAACAATTTATTTTTGTAAATGTTATTCCAAGTTCTGGACGTGATAATAAACGTAAATGTTCATTATCATTTGAATCAAATTCATCAACAAGAATAACTTCATCAAAACTTGTTTCTAATGTTCGTCTAAATTTAAAATAAATAAATATAGAAGTTTTTTTTTATTTTAGAATTAAAATAATTACTTTAACAAATCAGACAAATTATTTGACACAAGAACAACTAAATTTCGTTTTGTTCCAACTAAATGAATTGATTGAGCAAGAACAAGTGCTCCAAGTGCATAATCATCATTTGTTACTAATGTTACAAATGCTTCAGACGACATTTATTTAATAGACTCTACGACAAATGATCAATATTAAACAACAGCAGATGGTTAAACAATTATCTAAATAGAAAAACAAAATGCATTTATGTAGAGAAGAATTCTCACTTAAAT